TATGCTGTCTACAAGAAACTCACTGAACCTGTAAAGACACACTAAGAGAGAAGAGACGTAAAGAGAGCCACTATGCAAATAAAAATAAAAAGTGAACAGGAATGCTATACTCATATCAGATAAAATAGACTCGAAGTCAGAAACTGGAAAAAGAGACAAAGAACATCATTATATAATGACAAAGGGATCAATTCAGCAAGAGGACGCAACCATTGTAAACACACATGCACCCAGCATCACAGCCCCCAAATATATAAAACCAATATTTTAGCCCTCAAGAGAGAGACTGACTGTAACACGAAAGTAGTTGGGGACTTCAACGCCCCCATTCTCAGTATTCATTGTGGAGGTCTTTACTTACCACCACAATGAAGTATCCACAATCTGTCAAAACACATCAAACAAAAAGAGGGCCTCTTATGATCTGGTGAATGATACCACAATAAATGGACTGAACGCTTTAAAAAGTCCCGCCAGGAATTTGTAGAAATTGACATGCCAATTCTAAAATTTATATAAAAATCCAAAGGAAGCCGGGCTCGGTGGCTCAGCCTGTAATCCCACGCCTTTGGGAGGCTGAGGTGAGTGGACTGCCTGAGCCTGCGGGTTCGAGACCCGCCTGGGTAGCAAGACCTCATCTCTACAATAAATCAAAAAATCAGCCAGACGTGGTAGCACACACCTGTAGTTCCAGCTACTTGGAAGGCTGAGGCGGCAGGATCGCCGGAGCCCAGCAGTTCGAGGCTGCGGTGGCCGGCAGCGGCCACTGCACTCCAGTCTGGGTGACAGAGTGAGACTCCAACTCAAAAAAAACAACAACAACAACAAAAAAAAAAAAATCCAAAGGACCTAGGATGGCCAGTTAGCCAAACAATCATCTTTACAAATAAGAACAAAGTTGGAGAATTTATGCTACCTGTGATTTTATACTTTATACTTAAAATAAAGCTACAATGATAAAGATAATATGGTGTTGCCTACAGGCAGACTATGACCAATGGAACAGAAAGAATACCCCATATATTGGCATTAAGACAAATAAGAGACCAACGGAACGGAACAGCTCATACAGTGGCCTAAAGACAGACCATAACCCAATGGAACAGAATATTCCAGACTGTGGCCTAAAGACAAACCATAGACCCATGGGACAGAATATCCCAGAAATGGAGACCACATGCACACATCAATTGACGATCTACAAAAGAGTTCATTCAATGAAGAAGGGATAAGAAACGTGTCTAAAAAAATCAACAGATGAAGCCGGAACAACTGGATATCCGCAGGATAAAAATCCATCCTGACCTCGAACTTACGCCTTTCATAAAAATTAGTTGAGACGACCGTACACTGAAATATAAAATCCTATACTCCAATCCTGTAGCATAAGCAGAAATATCTTCCCAAGTTTGAGAAGATACTGTTTTTTCCTAATAGCAAAGATACTTCAGAACAGAGAAAGTACTATTAAAATGGGTGAATTGGACTTGGTCAAAATTAGACCAGACACTTTCTGTTCATGGGGACGTGAAGTCCCAGGGATGCTCACCCATGACTGGTGTCCCGTGCAGTGGTTCCAGTCCACCACATGCATGACTTACCCGATGAGTCAGCAAGTCCACTGCCAGGCAATAGACGACGGACTTGCCATCGAGTCAGCAAGTCCGCTGCTAGACTTTCTCCCTAGACAAACACACACATGCGCACACAAGCAGACCTGCCTGGGAATGCTCACAGCTGCTTTATTGGTAATAGCCCAGCACTGGGAACAATCCAAAGGTACATGCACAGGACAATGGATAAACACATCTGTGTGTTCCTAGTACAGAATTATCTTTAGCAATTAAAAAAAGTTCAGCATAGCAACAATCTACAAAGAGACAGCCAAAGATGAGCAAGAGAAGTGAGACAAAAAAAGAGTAACCCATTGCATGGCTCCATTTACATGAAGGTAAAACTGACTTATGGTGAAAGAAACCAGAAGATGGGCAATGCCTATTTTGGGAGGGACTGACTGGGAGAAAAAGAGGACATCTGCTGGGTGACAGATTTGGTCTCTCTTCATGAGGGGTGGGTTGCGTGGCAAAGGCATCTGTCAAAACATACTGAGTTGTACTCATAAGATGCATGCATTTCCCTGTATGTAAATTATGGCGTCACAAAAAAGTTAAAATTTATATTGTCATCTCACACCACAGTCCAGATAAATTTCACCTGGACTCAAGAGCTAAACTTAAAAATTAAGTACTAGAACCAGCACTGGAGAATGCTTTTGTAATGTGAGAGTGCAGAAGGTCTTTCTAAATATAATACATGATCAAAAGTCACATGACAGATTTTTGCCTCATAAAAAAAAATTCTGTGTAGGCATACAGCTACAATACATAAAGAGCTCATACAAATCAACAAGAAAAACAGGTATAAAAAATATAATAGCATTTTGGCACAAAGGCAATTCACACGAGGAAAAGTCTGTAATAAATATAAAAAGAGATGCTCAACTTTATCAATGATAAAGAAGTACAAAATAACACACTACAGTGTATTTATCCTCCAGACAATTAGAAAAAGTAGGAAGTAAGATAATGGTCCCAAGGAGGGATGGAGGGAAACGCACAATGTCGGTGGTAGCAAGAATCGGCATAGGCATCACGTGTGACGTTTTGGCAATGGACCCCAGTAGGTACACGTGCCTTTTGACCTCTTCCCTAAGAAGGTGACTGCCCATGTAGAGACGATGCCCAGGACTCGTCCTTGCGCACTTTGTGCCGTGGAATCTGGAGACGTGTGCACACGCGTCAGCAAAGGCTGTGCCTGTGGTACAGGCAGTTGGTCTGTGGAGTCTGTCGTCCCTGGCGTGGAGACGTGCAAACACCGCAATCACAGAGCAGGAGGGGTGGTGAGAAGGGAGCCTTCCGGTGGGCTCCATTTTCTTCTTCCAGCCCTTCAGCGTTGAGTTCTGGGTAATGAACAGGAGTGACGTTCTCAGTGTGGCGGGGGGCCTCTGCTCACTCCAGTATGTCTCGGTGGCCGCCTTTGGTGGGGAGGGCCTCATCCACTGGCCTGGGAAGACCCCGGGGGTAGACATGTGGGAGACGGGCAGCCGGGACCTGGCCCAACTCCCTGCACTCAGCACACCAGACGAGAAGGCCCAACTCACACTCCCAGGGCCAGCAGAGCCTGGCCTGTGGCCGAATCCTGCCCGTGACCTGGGAAGCACAACGCCCCTCGCTCCTGAGGGCAGGGCAGTGCTAGCAGGGGGCCCTGGGTCCCTAAGGCCTGCACTAAGGGCGGGGGCATGAGGGACCCGCTGTGTGGTGGGTACTGCTGGGGCTCCCTGGGCTACAGAGGGCCCCATCCAGAACCCCACCCACCATGGCTCTTGGGAGCAGACCGCCCCCGGGGGAGCTCAGAGGCCCCTCTCTGCTTGCCCCCCAAGCCCGCTTCTCTCTCACAGGCCATAGCCTGGCCTAAGATAGGGATGCCGTCTGCCTGATGGACTGAGAACGTTCTGGAAAGGAGGAGCCACATTGATGGCCTTGCCCAGGCCAGCGATTCTGGCTGTTAAAGGAGCTCAAGAATTCCTGCAGGGGCTTTAGACACCACCCCAGGTTTTAGACTTTTCACTTGTGCAAAGAAAAAGAAACGGAAGGGGAGAAGAAGGTGGAGGCCCACCCGGTGCCCACCAGACTGCTGCAGGGTTCTCACCTGCCAGCCCCCCTCTCTAGAGCACTTGTCCCTACTAAGAGCCGAAGCTGCAGCTCCTTCCCAGACCTGCATCCCCTGCAGTGCATCGTGGACATCGCCCCCAGGGCGGAGGCCCCACAAGACCCCACCCTCCCAAGCCCAAACCAAAGTCTGACTTAGGAGCAAGGTGGTCACCACGGAGCTGCCCGGGACCAGGTGAGTTGGGCGCTCACGTTCCATGGCAGAACTTGCTGTGATGGGGCCTAGCCGTGGGGGCCACCCTGGCTGGCCTTCCTGAGAGCCCACAGGCACGCAGCCAGCCTGATTCAACAATCCCTGCTTGCACAGCTAGTCCAGGGCAGGAGCAGAACAGGCAGAAGACCAGGACACAGAGGCCGAATGAGCCGCAGCTGTCGAGGGTGGGGGTGTGGTGCAGGCCTCGCCCGGGTGGCCCCTCAACCTCCTCCTGCCATGGCCTCGAGGAGCAGGCGACCTGCGGGGCGCCACAGCCTAAGCCCCCCCGAGCCTGGCACAGACCTCCTCACAGAACCGGGAGCCACGAGCTCAAGCTGTGGCAGGTGTCGCCCTGCCAGACCGGCCGTGCCTGTCCCAGACCCCCAGCTCCTCCCTGCCTCCTGCAGCCACTGGTGCTCGCTGCCCTAGGTCCTGTGCCTCAGGTCACCAACCCTGGTGCGTGGCAGTGGCAGGCCAGCCACCTGTCCGCCAAGCCAGGGTGGCTGCTGACACTCTCGAAAACGTCTACACTGCCTAAGGGAATTTTGTGCACACGAACACGGAGCACGGGCTACTTTCTGCTGAGCTCACGAGCACCCCATGATGAGCAAGCCCAGCATGGCATGGGGCAGTCTTGATGCCTGGCAGCCCCCGGAGGGGCGGGGCACAGGACAAAGGAGAGGTCCAGCTGCACCTCCTCCAGCAGCGCCGTGTTCTAGTGCAGGCTGGGTTCTGGACAAGGAGACTTACCTGGGGCCGCCTCATTGGCTTCCGGAAAGACGCCAGCCTGAGCACTTGGCGCCAGACACAGGCCACAGACACACTCTCCCACACACATACACACTCACATGAGTACACAGCACACGCAAGCACTGACATGGACACAGACATTCGCATGCACAGGCACTCCTGACGTGCCTGGGGTGTCCTGCTTCAGGGACAAGTTGGGTAAAAGGAAGCCGGACCTCCCTGGACTTGGGTTGAGGAGCTGGGCCGGGGTCCACTGTGACCCAGAGTTGGCACCGGCGCGGTATCCGCAGAGACCAGCTGAAACGTGGTGTCATAATAAATACCTCATGTAAAGTACTTCTTTTTTTTTATTGATTTCATTGAAAACAGAACAAGAAATGGTCTGAGCCAAAAGACTGCTCTTAAAACTGTCAAAAACATTTTAACAGAAAAAAATAAACATGACTGCATTATGAATGTTTCAGAAGAGTCGCACAAAAAAAACCCCACTGTTACTGCACTAATTACAGTATTTAGAAAGGTATATGCCAAAAAAAAGTATATGACCTGCCAGGCCACCACACAAAAGGTGGTGGCAAGTTTATTCACACTACAAGACTAACATTTTTAAAAAAGTTTTTCCTGCATTTTATTCTAAAATCACTTTGTTCTCTTTATACAGTTGATAGTTTATTTTCACGTGGTGAGTAGAAACCACACCAGAATCAGCACCGTTGTCTGTGTTTTGTGTTTTTTATTTTCTGTTTGTCCTAATGTTCAGTAATGGTAGAAAATAAATCAGTTTATTCATCATCATAGCATGTGGCTTTAAAAAAATCAACAGAAGGTGCCAGCATCAAGGGAACTGGCAGGGGCTGGCGTGGGGTCCGCCTGCTTTACCACGCCACCCCCTCGAAAGAAACGCCAGTGAGAGGATTCGGATATGGGGCTGGGTAGAGGACTCCTTTAGAAAGCAAGCCCACGTCCTCTCAAAGTCAGTGGCGGGGTCGGCTGCTGGACCTCTTAAGCCCGTGACAGGAGACAGTGTCCTCCCCGTGGCACCCGGGCACCAGCACCCACCATGCAGGCCGTGGGCAGGCGGGTCTAACGGAGCAGCTTGCAGTGACGGCGGCTTTGGCGGTGCCACACGGAGAAGTCTGGGCCAGACAGGAAAACCAGCAAACCCAGTGGTGGAGCAGGGACCTCGGAGACCGGAGGAAGGACAGAAACCGCGCAGCGACCAACCATCATCAGACACTCACAGGTGACGCCCCGAGGGCCCCAGCTCCTCCAAGGTGCACGGGCAAAAACACCCACTCCTGCCTGAGCACTGGCCCAGCCGCGAGGCCTCAGGTCTGGAAAGGCGGCTAGGAGGCGTCCACACCTGCCCGCAGGCCTCTGAGCGACTCACGGCCTCACCTCTGGCCCCACGAGAGCTGGCAGCACAGCCCTGCCAGGGCCTTTCGGATGTCGCGAAATCTCTCCTCCTCAACACGATGCGAATGGGTTCTGTCCCGAGGCCACAGGCCAGCCGTTCCTCATAGGGGGTCGGCGGCTGCCGCGGAGCTGGTGTCCGGCAGGCCGTCCTCCTGGGCCTCCTGCCGCTGGGCCAAGGCCGCGCTCGAGTGCCGGCACTTGGGGGAGCCGCAGCGGCAGCTGAAGAGCTTGCCCTTGATGGCCCAGAAGCGCTCTCCGTAGTCAAACCTGGGGAGGGAGCACCGCAGGGCACAGGTCCCACCAGCACCACCTCCCGCCGCCGCCGGCCCATCAGGGGTGCGGCTGCGAGCGGGAGCGCCACCCTCGCCCAGCCCGCACGTACCCCAGCTGCTCGCCGGCCTCGATCAGGCGCGTGCTGAAGAAGGCGATGCGGGGGAAGCGCAGGTCCTGGTGGGACATGAACACACGCACTGGCACGAGGTTGGGCTCGCAGTGGTGGTTGATGAAGCGGCTGACGTTCCCGTAGAAGCGCGCATCGATGCAGTACACCTCCCCATCCTAGAGGGTGAGGACGGGACATCCACGAGCTGCGGCCCCGCCAGTGGCGCCCGGGACTTGTCCTTGCCCGCAGGGCCCGGGGCTGACGCAGAGCCGGGGCTGGATGCCAGCCACCGGGCTCGAGGGGCCTTCTTCGTGGCCCGCGGCCAGA